TAACTCTTAATAATGAGAGATAGTTAATTATTTTAAATGAATTAAAGGTACTTTAGAGGAAGACGTACATGAATATTAAGCATTTAAGCCATGTAAAGTGACATCAACAAGGATAAGACCTAAATGATATTAAAGACCACTTAATTATACAACGATACACCCAGTTTAATCAAAATCCTTAGAGCAGTTTTTGGGAAAATTGTAAAAATGTGTTTCAGCGTTGATATAAAGTGGCACTTCCGGTTAGCAGATTTTAAAGAAAAAGTTGCAACGACATCTAAGGCATGTAACTGTCTTAAATACGTAATATCAGTTTCGCACGACTTTTCGTTTTTGAGCTAGACTGCTAACATACAAACACACATACCATTTTTCCGGACTTGGTCATTTCGACTCAGGGTACCTCAAAACGTGTATTTCCGTTGAAAACTCAGATTCAAAAATTTTCACGATCGCAATACTTACCCTTACTATATATTACATGTATAGGTATGTGAAAGTAAAAATTTAAAATTAAAATAAAAATATTTCTGATGAGAAAAAAATGTAAACATGCACCGTCGATAAACAAGCAACTATGACATTCAAAAACTCGGAACGGCTCAAGGCGATGAAAGAACATTCCAAAAGGCAGGAGGAGCTTATTGAAAACTAACCGAAAATAATAACCTAAAGAAGGAAATTAGAAACATGGAGATCAGGTTAAACTGTACTGTACAGAACAGGTCCAGTTTTCCCACTCACTCGAGTTCAGAGGCATCCCCACGAAGAGCGGGGAAACGCTCGAGGGGATACTTTTGTCCGTCAACACTAGCGGATCCAGGATTTAATTTTTTTTTGGGGGGGGCTTCAGCCCGAAAGATTTTTTTTCATATATATAACGATAATTAATTTGAAAAAAAAAAGAGAAAGAATTGAACTACCTATATGAAATGGTGTTATTAAATGCAATTACACGAACATTAAGAGATAATTTTTAATATTTTTTTCAATAAAACATGGTTATATTTAACCGTTTTGGGAGGGGGGCTTCAGTCCGAAAGCCCTCTTCCCCCCCGTAAATCCGCCTGTGTCTGTCAAAATTCAATTTTCCCCACAAGGAATATTATCTGATGTTCTTTTCTGAATTGAATACTCGGAGTTTTGTATCTTAACATTATTTTCGTACTTGTCTCTGTACATATTTTCCAATTAAGTCTGGTTTTCTCTCTGTTATTATATTATTATTTATCTTTTCATCTAGTTATATTTCTTTCATGAATAATCTCATATTTTTCTCAGTTGCAATTTTTATTTATTTTGTTAAAACATATAATTGTCCGTCTAATTGTTTGCTGTTCTACCATCTTTCATTTATCTTAAAAAATTTAAATTCACATAATTGCGATTGTTTCGTTCCTTTCCAAACTTTCAGTGATGAATTTCCTGCTTTGTCCTTCCATGACTAATACACTATTACCGTGTCACCTTAACTGCCAATCCCTTCCGGTCAACATTGATGAATTCATTGATTATTTCCTCCATAATTTTTACCATATTATTGCAGTTTCAGAAACCTGGCTCAAACCAAACATTCCTTGCCCCTCTGTATCCATCCCTAACCGTGCCCTCATTCCTCATGATCGAACAAACCGGACAGGTGAATAGTTACTTGGGCTAGTTATTACTACTTGGGCAGCAAGTAATGATTTAAAGTTGAACGTTGAGAAGACTAAAGCCATTCTCATTGATTCCAAGCATCTTATTAATTTCATTCCGTACTATCCTCTACCCTACCTCAATAGACTGCCTATTCGTTTCCATACCTCTGCCAGAAATCTCGGAGTAATTTTCGATCAATTACTGTTCTGGAATAATCATGTTTCTCAAATTATCAGAAAATCTATTGCTACCCTAAAACAGTTCTTGAAATTCCGTGATTCTATGCCCCTAAAAACTCAGCAACTCCTAGTTTCTTCACTTCGATTACGGCTGCCTTGTATAAGGTGGGACTGCCTGGTGGGCTTGAGATCAGATTAATGAATTGTTTCATTCCATTCATCTTTGGAGTCCCCAGGCACTCCCATGTCTCCAGTTGGTATGCTGAGTTGAAGTGGCTCTATGCAGATTTCCGGCAGCAATATTTTCTAAGTGTATTCCTTTTGCGAACCTTTATAACCAAAAAGCTATCTTAACCTTCTTGATTTGTTTACTCTTTCTTGCTTGGTTCATTCGTTTAACACAAGATCCCAGTCCATAAACCTGTTTGTTCCCTCTCATAGAACCGTTTCCTTTAAAAAATCCTTTATCATGTGTGCTACCTTTTTTTGGAATCCTCTTTTTTAACCTCATTTAAAAATTTATTTTTTCATCTCCTTAGCAATCAATCTTCCCAATACATGTAAGGATAAAATTTTGTATTAAAGAGCTGTCAATCTCATTTGACTGTTATGTTACTATTACATACATATCATCAATATTGTTAATCAGAATGTGTTCATCAATATGTTTACTCGTACTTAATTTATTTGCATTATAAGGTTAGATCATTATGTTGTATTAGCTAAAATGTTTCTTATTTTTTGTAATGAAAGACAATTTTCATCTTTTTGTACATTGTAATTATTCTAAGGGGACTAAATGTCCCAGAATACAATTTATTTTTCTTTTATTATAAAATAAGGCTCTGCTTATTTTTTCACCATATTTATTTTAATTCTCATAGCTACGCTTCGGCCAGTAAGCCATATTCAAGCCACTTTATCCAACCACGGTCCAAATCAGACTTTGGACTATATGCAAAAAGCATGATTGGATAAAATGGCTTACCGGCCGAAACATAGCTATGAAATTAAAATAAATAAGGTGAAAAAATAAACAAGCACATATGGATTTATTTTTCTTTCTTTCTCGTAATTGTAATATATCTCAATAAAGAATTTTTCGAAAAAATATTTTAGATAACATATTTTGTACAATAATGTTGGAAGATTTAATGCGTCCCCTTGAGTATAGTGGCTGCAGCCCATGCAGCTCCTATACATAACCCACATACATAAAAAATAGTTATTAATGGGACTGATTGGAAGCAATGATGGCATGAGGTTGTCGAAAACTAAATGTCAATTGATGGTTTTGGTAATAATCTAATTAATCTGTTCTCCTGTCAAGTAAGCTGTATCTGAGTTTCTAAGCAACATTTTAGGTAGCTTAATCATAAGATTTCTAAAGACCATTCACGCTGCACCAAGCCTACGACATTAAACTTGAAGAACTGTAAAACCTTCAAACAGCACGCAAACCAAACATTCAACCTGTTAACCCCTGTTCTGTCCATCCATCTCACCACACACAACATAACTTATAATGTAGAAAAAAATGCAAGAACAGCGATAGTTTATAAAAATCTAAACAAACAGAAGGCGGTGACTGAGAAAGTCCTGCATGCAGAAAGAAATAAACTCCTCAACTGTATTTTATTAAAGGACTAGTTAATAAAACAAAGTTGTTTTACCAGCTGCTTTGAAAGGCAATGTTGAAAATTTCCTATCTGAGAGACGAACATCACTGTCGATTTTTAAACTACCTATAACCATCTTGAGCACATCCCTCTCAACATTTCGAAGACGCTCTACTTTTAAAATACATAATGGGCAATATCCTGGCTTTTGGTTAAAATGCTTGGTTTGGTGAAGATTTCTATCAGCCTATACTGGTCCTTAAATATCGCAGTAGTGTAGTACAGCCATCCTCGGAATACTTCAACAAACACCCCAATCTCAAAATTCATAGTCGACAGGAACTATGAACGCGAATGAGGATTCCGTTTTCACTAAATGGTTAATTAAAATGGGTATCAGTGAATTAGTTCAAATAAATTACTTCAATGAACCTATCAAATTCCGAAACATTGTTAATTTAATTACTAAAACTTTTAATGCAACAAATATCAATTAAAAAAATATTTCACAATTCTATTTAACATCAATTTCCTGTACCAAAAATGATGATTGTACAACAATTAATGATCAATAGTATTACTGAGTTCTGGTTCTGTCCAACTCAAAGAAACAAACAACTCCCATTATACCCCTTAGAATTCCTTAAACCGTTTCATAAAATGGCTTTAAAGAAAGTAACATTATCATGTCAACTTAGGTAATACTACACAGGGATTAATGAAATGGTTACTCATTTTTGGGAGTACACCATCACTGTTAAATTAATTCACTCCTGAACTGCTAAATCTGCTCATAAACGACAGCCTTTGCTATGACCATTAATAAATCACAAGCTCAGATGCTTCTTTGGCATGAAAATTACATCTAATATTGTTGTCATGTCTAATATTGTTTTCAAAGTTCTGTGTAGGTGGAGAATGACCAATAAATAACTAATCCCAAATGGTCAGTATAAATCTTATATGAGGGCAAGAAGGTTAATATATAACATACTGTTGCATTATACATAGCAGATTTAGATTTTAACTGACATCTCCTTGAAGAAAAATGCACTACTCACTGTATCTCGATGGATAGGGCAAACAGAGACAGAAATATACTCCTTGATTAAACAAGCTTGATGTTGGGAGAATTCTCAATATAATATAAAAAAAATTCTGTTTTTGATTAATTTAACATTTCATTAGCTTCCCACATGTTTAATTGTTCCAGAATAATTACTCAGAAGCTGCTTTAAAACAGTTAATACTAGTTGCCCTTAAAACTAACTCGTCTGAAAACAACAGCATCTTTATCCCAGGTTAATTGTTTTGCAAAAATTCATTAGAATTATTAATCATCAAACAGAAAAGAATAGGAATCGGCACTGATTTCTGAGGGAGTACTTTATTTAAATTATAAAAATCCACTTTTGTATTTAACTCAAATGAATTGTTTAAATAGGTAATTATAGGAGTATGTATTTAAATAAGGAAATAACCATTTAATAAAAACATTAACAATTATAATTATAATACATTTTAATAAATATAACAACTTACACATATAGAAACAATGGATATTAAAGACAAATCACTCCAACATTACACTTTCTTCAAGATAATTCAGATATAGAGACATAAAATTAGCCACAAAGGCTTCAATATGAAATATCACTTTTGATCCTTGGTGCATTTGGTATTCATAAAGTGCAGCGAGATCAACAACTTTAGCTTTTAGATTAGAATCACAACTTTTGACAAGTTCATCCAACATCACCTACAAGAACATTATATTATAATAAAAACATTAATTATGATAGTAAATAAATAAGAAATATTTAATTTATATAAATAGTTTAATATATATAAAAAAAATTATATAAGAGTATTTTTTTATTTAAGAAAAATATATAAGAAAAAAATAATGATTACATGCAAACTACAAATAAAAGTATTGAACATAAATATAGCATCAAACATTCATGTAAGAAATGACCAGCAGAATTATTCATTAAAATAATAAACTATTTTATTCTAATCCTTCAAGCAAAATTTTGAAATATACATAGGAAACAGATTCAATTCTTTAGAGCATTTAATTTTAACATCATCTGAAAAAATGAACACAATTTAACACATAATCATGATTGGGTATCAATCTAATATACTAACATAAGGTGCAACAATCGCAATGGTAGAACACTCACACAAATAATTATGAAATTGAATATGTGAAATTAAAAAACCCACACAATTTTAATTTAGTTTACATACAGAAATAATGTTCTTAGCACCATGATTACATGTGCCCATCACACTACTGCATCACACGGATTACCAAACAAATCTTCAGATTATTTTTTTGGTTTTAACTTATTTATTGAAAAAGATTACAATCTGTCTCAAAGGACATTCATAATAGTGTTCAGAGATCACATTCACACTCTATGTACAATAAATAAAATAAATTATTAAAGATTATTAAGGATCTACTTTAGCTTTTAAAATAGTCAACACTAAAATATAAATAAAATAATTTACTTTGAAAATTATGTCAGTCGGGATACCATGAACAAGAAGCTCATAAAATCTATTACGGATATCGATTAGTTTTTTTGGAGACTGCTCAGACAATATTTGCTTACAAGTATCTCGTAGAAACATTAGCCAGTCTGGCTCCATTACTTCTTGATCAGGAGTAAATGGGTATCTGAAAACAATATGGTTCTAATAAATAAACATAAAATAGTATTATAAATTAATGACAAGGAGAAATAATGGTACTCACTGTTGTACTTTACAAGTTTCAAGCATTAGAATAGCTCTTCTCAAATTTCTGTCTGATTTTACAGCTATCCTATCTGCTAATTCGGGAGGTAAATTTAGGCCTTCCTTCTTACTAACTTGCTAGTAAAAAAAAAAAAAAAATATGATGTGTTGTATTACATATATCATAAAATGAATTATAACATCATGTGAGTTGTATGTAAACCTACTTAATTCCAAGCAAACATTCCATACTATATTAAAAAAATTTATTGATATTTCACAAGTTAGTTATATCAGTCTTAAATTAAACCAAAATATGGTTTAAGTGTAAACACCATATCTTCTTTCAATTGCTATTAGTCCTTCAGATCATTAGAAAGAATTACTCTAAATTTATTAAAGATTCAACCTATACCAAACATAAACTCTTTTAGAGGAATAGATTCTTATTTAATAAGTGCTCTAAAATATTTTTTATTATAAGTAAAATTATCACAATTCTCATCAATCTGGCCTCCACAGACAAGGAACCTTGCCCTTTTCTCTTCCCCACTAAAATTTTCTTGATACTTTGAGCTAAGTCAGCGTACAGAATTAAATGGTTAGGAAACAAGGATAGAGGAATATAACAGGCTTGCTCACTCATGTGGAAAGTGATGGGGAGGAATCTAGTTGTGGCATAGACCATAGACCACTATTTCTCCTCCTGCGCTTGTTTTAAGATTATTATTTAGCGTGGTAAATAAAATCAATACTTTAAGGTATAATAGCTTATTAATATATTATAATTAATACATTTTTTATTAATTCAGTCTTTCTAAATGCTGAAGGAGGATTGGGAAATGCCCTCAGCTATTTCCGCATTAACAGTTTCTATCCAGGACTATTGACCACCTTGTCTTCTTTAGTTAATCATCACATTTGTTCATAGTTTGTATTTATCTGTTTTTATTAGTAGTTATAATGTGAAATGGTTAATTACTTGAAATAAACAAAGTTAAAGGTATTTTAGAGGAAGAAATTTTGAAAATTTGATATTTAAGCTCGTTATAGAACATCAATGAAAATTAAACTAAAAATCACTTAACAGTATCTTGATCTAATGAATTTAATCAAAATTGTTAGGGCCATTTTCAAGTAAATTGTAAAGATGTGTAAAATCAATCTTATAAAGTGACACTTACGGTCAGTCGATTTTGAAGAAAAAGTTGCTGTAACATCCCAGGTATACATGAACCTTAAATAGGTAATTTTAGTTTGGCACAACTTTTCATTTTAGAGCTACACTTTCATAGACCATTTTTCAAAACTTGGTTATTTGAACTCCGGGGACCTTAAAACATGTATTTCTGTGGAAAACTCTGATTCTAATTTTTCATGATTGAAATACTTTCCCTTACAATATATTTCATATATAGGTAAGAGAAAGTAAAACTCGATAATGAAGAGAGTGAGTACCGACTTGCCGCTTACAATTCATAAAATAATCCTACATAACACTAATAGTTCTAAAATATGATTATCTTTCATAAAATTCAACAAAATAATTAATATAAATGTCAAATTATTTAACTGTGTGAAGGCTTGACTAGTCTAGTAGTTATGTCATGAATCAAATACCCCCATCACACATTATTAACTTTCTTAACGTCACCAAAATAAACTGATGATACCCTGAATGTCTTGAAAAAAAAAAAAAAAATTAAGTTGTGAAGTTACTTTTTTTCAAATATAGAAATCTCTGATAATTACAATATTTTTAATTTCCTACCTATACTAGGTAAGGAAAGTATTGCAATCGGGTCAAATTTATGACATGCGGTTTTTGACGGATCTATACGTTTCAGAGCCCCCTGAGTCCGAAAATCACATTTTTAGCCATTAGTCTGTCTGTTTGTCTGTGCCAAGATTTTCTCGGGAACTACTGAACCGATTTTGTTGCTTCTTTTTTTATTTTGTGGGGTTTTGACTACTGATGCCTGTGACAGAAATTCAGTGCTCCATGGGCAATAAATGAAAAACATATTTTTTTATAGACTGTAGCGCAAAAACGGCTCTAACGATTTTGATGAAACTTTCCTATAATGTTTTAATCATTGTTCTTTCAATTTTCGTATATAGACTAAATTTCCGAAAAAATTCAGGAAAAAAAGTTATAAAGAAAAGAAAAATGTTATGGGGCCTAACTCCCTAAGTATACATTATACGGTAAGCTCCCTGAGTCCGAAAAATACGCCATTTAGCCTGTCGTTTGAAAGGTAATGAAATTCCCTACAAAGCCATATAAAAATCGTTCATTTTGGACAACTATTAACAAAGTTACAGCTATTCAATTTCCAATGTAAGATTACGGTTTCATATCTTGGTGTCAGAAAGGAGTGAATGAGAGAATAAAGATGACTAAGTGAAAGTAAGAAAATCTGTTGCCCGCATCACACAATCTTCACTATTTCCTCTACTTTTAACAGAAATTATTGTTTGACCATACTAAGCTATGCCAAAAAGTTTTTGATCAGCAATATTAGGAAGTATTGAAATTTTTACACTGATCTACCTTAAGCCGGTTTGCATTGCTTTAGTTTATCAAATAAGTCCTACTCAAATCTTATGTTTGATCAATTTTCAGGAAAATGTATCTAGTTCAATTCTTTTTTGTTTCTTTATGAACATATGTAAAGATATAAAAACTTTTCTGAAATAGGTAGGAAAGTCGTGTGAATGGACACACCAGATATTTTTTTACAAGCAACTAAAATCAATGACAATGTATTAAGGTCCTCCAACATCAACATCACTTTACATAAAATACTAATTTATAAATTTCAAACCTAATACTTATATATGAGTCTTTCAGTTGACAGAATGACAAACTCCAATTTCAAAATTGTTGTCATTTTAGTGATACTTCTAGGTGGAAAATTTATATCTGTACAGACAGTGAGTAATTTGATTCCAGAGTAGGCAATGGCAGTGTTGAAATATAGAACTGTGAATAAAGGTATAAATTTTCTCAGTAGAAATATTACTAAAATTTATAATAAAAAATGTTGAAATTGGAGTTAATCATTCTATCATCCGAAATGCTCATATCGTCAGCATCATGTTAAAGTAATAAATGTGTGACATTAAACAGGCTCACAATCATTACATTAACATGGTGTCGACAATACAGTGATGAGATATTAAACAAACTCTGAAAAAATATTTTAAAAACATTTACATGTTGTAAATCATATTATGCAATAAAATGTAATTATAATCTGTAGGATATGTTAATTAAACATAAACTCATATTATAAGCTGTTGACCATAAAAAAAATAAAAATAAAATTAGCTATTAAATTTTAAAATTCTATTCCAGTAAAGAAAATTGTATTAAAATTAAATAATCAGAAAGATGGATAGATTTTATCAATATAATTACCTGAAGAATTGTTTTAATTTGTTCAATGGATGGGGCTGGCACTCTCATTGCTAAACAACGAGATTTAATTGCAGGTATCACTTGTGAAATAGAATTTGCGCATAAAATTAATCGGCAAGTAGCTATATATTTTTCCATTGTTCGCCTTAAAGCGTGTTGAGCATCTTTTGTTAAACGATCAACCTCAGTTAGTACTATGACTAAAACAAACAATCTATCAGTTAGGAGATGTAGACAAAAAGAGTTTTATAATATGAAGATCAAAACAAAGTCTTTATTCTTTAAAATATTAGAAAGAGGTAGATGTTTCTGCAATTTTACAAGAAGTAAATGAACTCTTCATTGACAAGAAACAAAAGCCCTGAAGAAGAAGAACTGTTAAAACAAATAACAGATCAAATGATTTATAGGCATTAGATAGTCAGTAGGCAATCATTTTTCAAGGTTTTATTGCAAACATAAAAACATAAAATGTTTGAAAACCTAAAGTTTGATAGGAACCAATCTATATTGTCAGTGCATGCCAAAAGGCATATTTAAATAAGTGTGAAACTAAAAAAAATAGATTTAAAATTACTATTATAGATATAAGGTGTCTACTTCCTTATTTGAATTCTGTTAAATATAGTTTCCGGTACTAGTTCACAAGAGTTCCGCACTGATTACGCATGGTTCACAATCACTTCGGTCACACTTGTTCATGGAATCCCGAATGCGTTCGGGTTTATCCGAAAGGGAACGAGGGCAACCGATCTCTTGGACCAGTTACTATTAACTTTCCTGCCATTTAAGAACTATAACCTTAACCATGTTCAGATATATAGCAGGGCCGACTTACATTAGAAATTTAGGCTACATATCATGAAACCTGAATTGAACTTGTCATATATTATAGATCTGTAAAAAAGAAATAGTAATAGATAAAAACCATTAATCATTATATCTCTAAATGCTATTTCACGATATTATTTTTCTTATTGATGATTACCATTATTCATTATCTTGGAATTATCAGATATTCTTCATCAGTTGTTTCCCAAAATGTCAATTCCTTTTTTGAAAATAAAAACGATTTTTTTTTTGTACCAATGACAACAATAATCCCCATTTTCGGATTACCAAGAAAAAAAACTGTGAATAACAATAATTATACAGCTAATTCATTCAATAAAAATTATAGCGATTAAAACGATATACCTAAGAATTATACATACATATATACTATATGAAATATATCTATATATATATATATATATACACTATAAGAAATATATATATATATATATATATATATATATATATATATATATATATATATACTATAAGAAATATATCTAAGAAATCTAAAAATCTACGAACAATTTTAAATCTGATAGTATATTCATAAAAAGCTCTGACGCTCAGAAAATAGTGGATCCGTATATCTAAGAACTCTAAAAAGTTACATAAACTTGATGCTCAATCTCAAATCAGCCCCTCTCACTAGAAAATAGTATAACCTCGTATTAGAAATCTAAAAAATTACATAAACTAGATAGACGATTGTGGCATTCTAAAAAAGGCTTGCTAAAATAAATTATAAATTCAATTATTCCAACTTCCATTGAAAAACTTGAATAACAAATAAAAAGATAATAGATAACTTCAAATTATTTGTTATCCAAATGAAAAAAATATCTTTTATATACAGTTATAAAAGACAATATACAGTATATGCGTATTTACAGCCACTACATGTGAGCACGTGTCCATAAAAATGTTATTGCTAAAAGCATTTTTTTTTTAACAGGCCTTGAAGAAACGACTCAAAAATTATTTTATGTATTTCTTTCTTTTTCTTTCATAGTGATAACCGTTATAATAAAAATTAATAATTAACTAGATAGTAAATACACAATTCGTTAATAATAAAAATTAATAATTAAGAAGGAAGTTCCATGAAGGGAATACATTTTTTTTTTTTTTTTCAAAAATGCATGAAAAGGGTTTGTCTGATGGGGCAATAGCTGATGTCATAAAATACTGCAACATTCGGGATTCCATGAACAAGTGTGATCGAAGTGATTGTGAACCACACGTAATCTGTGTGGAACTCTTGTGAACTAGTACATAGTTTTCCTCACTTATGTTTTTGTATATTAATTGTTAAAACACATTAAAAAAAAAAACTGCAAACCAAAAGATAGTAAAATTTGTAGATAACCACTTTCGTACTAGACGAAAATTTGTCAAAAACAAGTACACAAACAATTCAATATTTAAACCTTTGAAGTCCCTTTGTCCTGAAGAATCAAGTTGGTGAGTTTGGGCAGCATTTTTAATCAGATCCATGACTACTACTCTATCATAAATTCCAGCATCGCTAGGATTAACTTCAATATGATAGTTGCTTGCAACAGTCATGATGTCCAATTTTTTATTTGAAGGTGTCTATAAAAATTAAAAAAAAAAATGGTATACAAAGTTAATAAGTGATAAGATATAAGAGCTTTGAATCAGTGTGGGTATGAATAATCACAGTAAAATTTAGTTGCTCCATCCTTAATCTTTCTACACCTGGTCCATACAGTTCTCTAAGCAAAGCCATAATCCGAGTCTTTTTTCCACTACCAGGAGGGCCGAAAAAGAGTAAATGTGGAAAATCTCCTTGATTAACCTATAATTAAAAGCAATCTTAAAAAACTAAGTTTTAATTTTACTTTTATTTTAAATTTTACAACCATAGAAATAAAAAGTTATTTTTTATCAGTGAAATATTACCAAATTTTTTAAATGCTGAGCTTGTGCCAAGTGATAATCAAGCTTTTGGAGGGACGTAGGACGATATTTATCCACATAAAGACTCATTTTGATTAACACCTTAAAATTTCACACTAATTTTAATTCAACTTAATTAAAATGACTTTAAAATTCACGTTTTAATAATGATAATGACAATCCTCAACTTTTTAACAGCAAAAATGGCGGGAAACTAAACCATGGGTCTATTTGTAACCTCCTATCATCTGGTTCAGTTGATTAAATCAGATATACCAATTAGAAAATTTAAAAATTAATTAAATAAAATAATTAAATGGAAAAATCTATTATTAGAATTTGAAACTAGTGACAAAATATTGGTTTTATTTTGTTAATTTAAATATTAGACCAATGAGATGGCTCAGTGACTTGTACCCTGATAACAGCTGTTATTGACAAGCCTAGTGATGGGTCCTCAAGGGTTCTGCTTCAGTGTCAAGATTTGTATTATTGTGTGACTGTAAATGTAAATATTTTATTGCTCTCGTTTTAGTTATTTTTTTCTTTTATTTCGGATCCTAAGGTTTCATGTTTTCTTAAATTTGATCAATGTACCCTAGTGTACTTATAACATTATACTGTTTTGTAATCTGAATACATTCTGTCAACATTCTGCATGTTTTCTAGCATGTGCAGTTTAGTGATGTTTTGTCGAAAGTGTGCTGTTGTAGTGCAAAATTAATACAGAAATTAAAATCATGACTCTACCAGGCAATCAAAGTTGTCCCAATCAGGTTCACACTAATGCTTCTGCTTCATTGGATGTCAAGTAAGTATTATTTTAATTCCATTCAATGAGTATCAGTTTTAATTTTATTTCGCAAACTATTTTTTGATTTAAATTCACTATTAGATCTGGTAGCCCTAATGTGAGTCCCCAAGCCAGTCCAGGACTTCAAACCAAAAATCAACATAAAAGAGAAGCATCAGTGTCTAGTGTAAAAGAGCTTATTCCTGACTCTCAAGAGAAAACTGAATATTCAAGCAGTACTCCTAAAGTCAGTGTTTCTAGAAATGTTACAATTTGACTATAGCTATTATTTTTTATTTCTTTATATCGTAATAAAAAAAACAGGAATTTTGTGTTCAGACTTCAACTTCAGAACTATCTGGTGGAGAGTTAAGTAGAAGCAATAGCCAAGAGCCTGTCAAGGAACGCAAAACTTCTGATAGAGTGAAGAAAAAAACCCCTTGGTATAGTGCTCTGTATCCTACTTATAAATCACGTAGTGATGATTTTAAAAGGATTTTTAAAGATATTCCCAGTGAAGAAAGACTTGTAGTTGGTGAGTTGAAGTTTTATTAATTATCTGTTAATTGTTTAATCATATAAGAATTTTAGAAATTCTTTTAATGCTTCATGGATGTAGTGATTAATTGCTATCTCAGTGGGTAAATAAGTTGAGAATTTCAAAGTGTTGTGGAATGTAAACAAAAAATAAAAGGCCAAAAAAATATTTATTCTTTGATAAACTGTTATTTAACTAATTGTTTTCAAACCTTTTTGTAGTATAAAATTTAAATATTTTTAGTTTTTATGTCTTTTGATGTTATTTGGCAGTGACAAGGTGGGTCATCCCTGATTTCTATTATTAACTCTTATTATAATTTTTTAGAATATTCCTGTGCTATTCAGAGAGATATTTTAGTCCATGGACGCCTTTATGTGTCACAGAACTATCTTTGTTTTTATGCTAATATTTTTCGATGGGAAACGCAGGTAAAGAACTGGCATGTATTATAAAATTTATTGTTGCATATTTTTAATATTATGTTTTATTATTGTTTAACTTCTTTGAATTAAATACAACTGAATATATTTTTGTATTGAAATTTCGCAGGTGACCATTAGGTGGAAAGATGTGACATCTCTCACTAAAGAAAAGACTGCTCTTGTGATTCCAAATGCCATATTAGTTCATACCACTACTGACCGACACTTTTTGACTTCATTTACTGCTAGGGATAAGGCCTTTTTAATGCTTTTCAGAGTCTGGCAAAATGCTTTAATGGACCAGGTGATATAAAATAAACTGTAGTTAATCTTTTTTAAACTTAATGTTTTTTTTTTAACTTCATTTCTTCTATTGATATTTGTTTCAGCCCATGTCTACCCAGGAAATGTGGCAGTGGGTCCATTCCTGTTATGGGGATGAACTTGGACTCACTAGTGATGATGATGATTATGTAGCCCCAGCCACTACTGACACACTGAACTCTCAGCCTTTAGATGATGATAAATCCTTTGGAGGAAAATGTGATCGAAATTCTGACTCATCCTATTCTGAGGCCAATAACAATAACAGCAATGTAAGTATAATATATACCATTTATATGATTTCAGTTATATGCATTTGCTAAAACGCTTGTCTAATGAGAACAGATGAAGAGAAATATGTTTATATAAAAATATTTAATTTTACGTTCAAATAAAACAGAAAATTAAGTATGTATCTCTGTTTTATGAAATATTTTAAAATGACTCTTCAATGGAAAAGTATTTCATGTATAACCACAATTTTCAACAATTAGTTAGTATAAATAACACCTCAACTAATAAATAAATCTAGGTCAAAATAACAAAATCATTATTACTGTTTTAATTTATTTATATTTGTCCTGAAATAATTGTATGCTTAACTTTTTTGTTAATAAATTTATATGAAAAACAATTCCCAAACATGATGATTCCATTAGAAAAGTTATAAATAATTTCTCTGGGAAAATGTTTTTTTTTTATGTGGCATGAATTTTCTCTCTTCTAATGTAATATCATTAACAAAATGAATATTTTAAGACATGTCTTTAACAGATATTCTATAACCAGAAATTGGAATGAAAGAGAACATTGTGCTATTTTCAACATCCTCAATATATATATATATATATATATATATATATATATATATATATATATATATATATATATATATACATGGCAGACTAGTCAATGTAATCACAAAATGTTCTCGTGTTTCCCACTACTACACGTGGTTAGGGTGTCTCTTCCCCTCCTTTAGAAGACAATATTGCCTTGGCACATTCCTTTACCAAATAATCTATAATCATCATCTGTCCTACGCATACAATCTCCATCAATTCAAGTCATCTATCCACTCCCTCTCCACAAGATCACATCCTTCTGACCTTTACACCCTTTTCCACAAATCTGCATCATTCCAACACTCATTTATTGTCTGTCTCACCACTTTTTGGAATTCCATCCCACTTAATATCCGCCATGCACCATCCTTATCCATATTTAAAACCCTCTTATTCCAATTCCTCCTTACAATTCAATCAGACGCTGAGTAGTTATTTATTATGTAACAATGTTCCATTTTTCTTTATACATCATATATATATATATATATATATATATATTTCTTTATTTTTCTTTTATGAGTATGGAAAAGATTTCCATTCACTTTTCACTGAGAATTGTTTTTGTTTTTTTCTACTTATATGATTTTAATTCTTTGAGATGTATTTAATTTTTTACCTATATTGAACACACTCCCTCCTCTATATGTATATTATCTTTTTTTTTTTTTTCTTTTGTTTTCTCAAAAGTGTTATTCTTAAGGGACTTTGTCCTAGAATAAAGTTATTTCTTCTCTTTTATTTTATTATATATATACATTTTATAATTTTGCTGTAGTTCATGTTTAACTTATCTAGAAACGGTCTAATTTATTGATTAGTACCAGGCTTGAGCTTGTCAATGAATGAAATTTTATTATTAATTCTCAATGGTGGTTGTGTGATCAAACTCAATGTTTTTATCAAAAAGTTAAGAATAGCTTTATGTGTTTCTGATTGGCAGTAATTTGTATTTGTTATGCATAAATCTGAGAAGTTCTTAAAGGTAAATAGTTAATTTCGATATGGTTTTTAATTTTGATTATCTTCTGAATAGTTAGGACTGATGACACTCTATAAAAATATGTTGTTTAAAATGAATAATAACTAGGTGACCCATGCTAATAATTCGCATTATATATGAGCAAACGTTAATTATGAAAGAGAGAGACATTAATTTTTTTTTATTCAAGGTCAATTACAATTATTGTTCAAAATTAAAAACAAGTGTTTTGGGCTAATTACATTAGGCTGTATTATTGGTAAGATTAGTTTGATTTCATGATTTTTTTTCCCCCTTTTTGTAAGAAATTTATAAACCTTTCAAATTATCTTGGGTCTATCATAAGTTTTATAATTTTGGGTAAATAAAACTTTTATCAGAACTTTTTTCTTGACTTTTCTGGAGGATGTGGTCATAGTTTGTTAGTAAAGAAGATAAATTTCAAAATGATAGCGTTTTATTGAATATGATGAAATAACGATGATATGGTGTCCTGAAAAAAAAATTAATGTATGAAGATTGAAAGTAAAACTTGGTGTTGAGAACAAACTTTTTTTTTTCTAGTGATATGCCAGTTTTTCTTCTCAGTTAAAAAAAATTTGTCCCTTGGAAAAGAAAATACTTTTTTTTTTGTTCATCAATTGAAAAAAAAACTTATTTTCATAATCTGTCTTTTGAGAGGTTATAACCGACAGGTTAAGCTGAAGGCAAAAAAGCAGAGTAACCTATAATCAGCCATCTCTAGTATGTAAGTATGCAAAACTATTGAAGAGGAGGATTAATTGGGGACAAAATGGCAAGGTTCAATTATCACCTCTTTTATGGTATTCTTTCTTCTGGAAAGAAAATAATCCTCTGTACTGAATGCCAGTTTATTTGAACCAAATTGGATGCCCACTGAAAATGCCAAAAATCAGTTGAGGGGAATAATATATATCGACAGCCACACTGCAAAAGTCTGTAAGAACAATAACTAAAAAATTTCATGAGACAAAAAAATTACATTTTCAGTTCAATTTTTAAAAAGTAACTTTTTTGATAGTATTTCTGCAAAATAATCTTTTGGAGCCATTTTCATAACACAGGAATTTACTTCTAACTTACAGCTTTTTACTTACTCTTACAAACAGGTATTAGTTACATAAAAGCAATCAAATGTATTATAGTAATACCTATAACTTTGTTAATAATGATCAAATCATGACAGGAACAAAGTCAGTCTCCAAAATATAGAGAAACGATACTTTAAATGAAAATTTGTAAAACATTTGATTGAAAAGCGAGTATTTGATCACCCGAGCTATTCACTTTTTTTCTCTCACCGTAGGGGTGGCTTGAATGGTACGCATGTGTCTCATTATCAAGTAGTCCATTAAATTTTTGTTATCAACGTATTCAATTTCATGTAGACATGGTTTGATTCACGGATTCTTGATAAGTTCTCAGTAATCTATTTGTATGTTAATCACTTCGCTTTTGAGCTTTTTGTTATTCAATAATTAAATGGAAGGCCATCCAATAATCATTTTTAATACCGTAGTCTGTTATTCCAGTCAATGAGTACTCAAAAAGGGCTGAAAGGTATACAGTGTTTTGCACATATAGTCGAGTCATGAATGATTACAGAAATGGAAATGGAAGGGACACAATATTTGGCTTTGTTCGGACTAGTTAGGAGGTAAACATACTAAAAGTCCCCACTCCTAAGAGGTGAGCAGGATGTGAGGAGAGAGAGAGGGCACCCAGAAGATCACTTTTTTCGGTTTGATGTTTATATCTGAGGAAATATCCATCGCAGCGATAAAGATGTTCCATACAAAATGAAAACTCATCAAACTTGATACAATATTTATGTTATTAATTTTTACGCTATTTCGTATAGTTTCCGAGATACTCGTGCTCAGAGGTGCCCATCCCCTCCAAGGTCAACTGTGAATGAACCTCCTCTCCTCCTCTCAAAATATTTTATTGCTTTCTTCTTCTTAAAACAGTGCAAGCTAATGTAGAATTTTAAAAATCATTGGTCGTATAAAATTACAATTTCAATGGTCTGTTCTATGCTTTCCTCTTGTCCCTGGTCTGAAAATGTAAATGGTTTAAAAACAGACAATTTTGCTCGGTGAACTTTAAACATTTTCCAAGTGAGATTAACTTTATACATTATGCGATTTGATTTCATGGAGTGATGTTCAATTAACTGATTTTTTTTTTTTTTTCCTGATGCCTGAATTGATGAAACATTCTCGGGATTTTCTTTCCTTGCATTTTGGAGACATGCTGTGTGGTTCACTAGCGGATCCAGGATTTAATTTTGGGGGCGGCTTCAGCCCGAAAGATTTTTTTTCATATAAGTATAAAAATGATAAGAAATTAACTACCTATACGAAATGATGTTTAAGTGGTTCTTGAAGTCCTATTAAATGTAATTAAACGAACAAGAATACTTTAAGAGATAGTTTTTAGTATTTTTTTCTGTAAAACATGGTTATATTTTACCATTTGGGGGGGAGGGGAGCTTCAGCTCCCCCGTAGATCCGCCGGTGGTGTGGTTTGAAAATATTCCAATAATAATCTAACATTTATGTTCTGTCTCTTGTTTATTTTGTTAAAGATAAAAAAGTTTTTTTTTTTAAATCAGCAATAATTTGACAGATATCGCGGAAACTATACGAGATAGTGTAAAAATGAATACCATCAATATTGTTGGAAGTTTTATCAGCTTTAATTTTGTATAGAATGTCTTTATAACTAAGATAGTTTTTCTGCTATAAGCGTAAAACCGAAAAAAAAAAAATATCTTCTGAGTGCTCCCCTCTCCTTCCCCCCAGATCTGGCTCACTTCCGAGGAATGGGAACTTTTGGTATGTTTACCTCCTAACTAGTCCGAACGAAGTCCCAAAGTTAAAAATTGTGTTCCTTCCATTTCCTTCTATTCATCGACGCAATTTCATTTTTTCTTTATAGCCTTTTGTAAAAACCAGAAAATTGTAATGTAAAAGCTTGTGTTACAGTGAAGATTGTAGAGATTCTGTCGTTACCAATAAAACGTAATTAAATGATCAAAAAAGGTGGTCATGTAAATATTGAATGTATAAAATATTTACATAATCACCTTACAGTTTGCATCATTACGTTTTATCGGTAACTACACAATCTTTATAACCTTCACTACAACTTACTGGTTTTTAACCTACAGGTTTTTACAAAGGGCCATAGAGAAGAAATGAAACATCGTAGATTTAATTTTGTGGGATCAGAATATGCGTCAGTACAAGGTTGACCGAAAAAGCTTAAAACATTTCTCAAAACAAATAAGACAAAAACGAAACGAAAATAAGACAAAAAGCATAAACTTTTTCAAAACTAGCTGAAATATCAGTATTCCATTTTCTTATTAAGTCATAGAAATTACTTATATTTTCGTTTTCAGTCCTTTGAAAAACTC